ATTTTATTGCAAAGAAAAAGTGATGTCTATAGTAATCCTTAGAATGAAATTTTTAGCATGTAGTGTGTACCTTGTGTTGGCAGTGATCTCTGTTGGCTTTCATGCTCGTATTTGCAGTAATAGTTCTTGTCTTTGTTCTCCACTGGTACAGTCAGCCAGCTGCCGATTGAGTACTCATCCTCTTTTGTGGACTTCCAGGCATCTCCTTTTACTACATTGTCTGTTATCTCCTTATTTTCTCCATCAGTCCATGTCACTTGAATGACTTCTGGGTAGAATTTCTCAATAAGGCAAACATATGTTATCTGATTTTCATGTCTCTTCTGCAGGATTTCAGAGTTTGCCGGTTGAGAATATCCTTTGTCTGGATTGGTTATCGGAGGAAAAAAATTAACAAAATAGAGAGTTGGAAGATCAATAGCATACAGCAAATAAATATGCAGCCACAAAATACAAATTCTGAAAAGCAACAACCCAAATGTCTTATTAGCAAATGTTTTAGCTCTCTAATTTGTTATGAAATACTTAGGATGGGAATAGAAATGTCTTATGTACGAAAAGAATTTTAGGTAATAGGATGGATGAATTACAGCTGGTTCTATCCTTGAAGTAAAAATAAGTTTTTGGTGAGCTGGACAAACCTGTTATTCAAACATACTTTATATTAAATATTATTTCAATGGACCCAAATGGCAAGTTTTAATTTTCAGTCAAAAAGAGTTACAATAATATTCAGAATAGTTGGGAATAGCAAATATGACTTTTAACCTTATTTTTAAATGTGTCATTTTATAGACAACTAAAATGAATAGAAGCTTTTATGGTACAGAAAGTTAAGCTCAAAATTAGAAGATGAGACTCAATTCAAATATTCTAAACTCTTTTTTGTTTAGAAAATTTAGTCTTCCAGAGTCTGCAGAATGTTTGATCTAAGCTTTGATACTGTGGCCATGTGCATGGAGAAACATTATTTAAGACCTAAATTGTTTAGTGAACACTAATATATAGACTGCTTTGTTCATGCTTCTTGTCAGGCAGCATGTCTGATAGAGAAAGACTAGACTAGGACTACTCTTTAATACTCTGATACTACAGTAGATTAAAAAGCATCTCACAAAAAATTTCTTGAGTATTCTATTAGAAAAATAAATTTAAGTCTGGTTACTTAAAATCTTAGAAACCTACTCAAAAATGTTTGAAAAATTATATTTGATAAATGTTAAGAAACTGAAATATTGCTGAAGATATTAAAAATCTCCCTTGAAACTGAGTTAGAATACTTCAGGCAACTACATGAGAGCCTATATTCCACAGCCTTCCAAGCAGTACTGCTGTCCAAAAGTGTATTTGTCTGCACAAGTCTTTGACAATTATTCAATAATAGTAATATTTCCTGAAAAAGCTTTTTTCATTTATTTGATAAGAGGAATTCAATATTGCTTTATAATGTTTAAAAGAAACAGCTACATGAAAATTCTGTCTACAGAATGTTAAAGGTAGATAACCTACCTTTCAAATCTTTGCAGTTCCCAGTATAAGTCCCCACTGCTAATTGATGAACACCTGCTATATCTAGTTCATTTTTTAAAAGCTGATACTAATTTTGTGATTGGGGGGGTGGGCAACAAAAATTTCTTGTTGACATTTTTGGGAAGATATTGTATGTATTTGGCAGGTGAAAATCTTGACAAGACAGGAAAATGGAATCACAAAATGCTCTGGACCCCAAAGGTTCCTTTAATACATTTGTTTAAGTGTTTGAATTAACACATCTGAAAAGGAAAAACCGAAACTAAATTAAAGCAGAAGAACATGCTATGTCTAGATAACATTTCTATATCCAAACAGCATATCTATCCAAAGCAGGATTGTCATAGGTGGCGTACTTTGTGAAACATGCTCACTATGAGCATACATGAATATGCTTTAAATGAAAAGTGAGCCATTTCCACAAGGTAACTGTAGGTAATCTCCATTTCATTTGTCTCTCTGAATTAAACCTTATGTTATTAGGAGAATAATCATTCCAGATTATCCAGATTTTGTCCACACAGAGAAGATTTGTTGGTATTATAAAAGTGGATAGTAAATTTAAGAGTTTATTTTAGTTAAATGCGAACTTCGGCAGTGCGTGCCTGGGCAGCGCTCCTGGGCAATTGTTAACACTAAACTGCAAGTGAAGACTAGATCCTGTTTTCAAAATTGACTTTTGTTAAGAAGGTACTGCTTAAGACTATTTTTTTTAAGAGAGATTTTAGGTGTTCATCTCCTTACACCACTCTTTCTCTTTAGATTCCTATGTAAATCTCTGCCACTGAATTTGAGCAGCTGCATGCGCTGGGTTTAAAGTGTGGTCTGGCTGAGTGGTGCAATTTTAATGCATGGTGAGAAAACACATTAATATAAATACGTATTTTTGTCAAAAAGCTTCCACTTTTCTTTAAATGATCTGGCTAGTCTAGAGTGGTCTTCTACACTGCATCCCCCCTAAAACAACATAGTGATTCTCCAACGTATTTCATACTCAGTGTTTAAAAACAAAGATGAGCAAAGCATAAGGCTGTCTACCTTCAAAAATATAACCCTTTCATTATCAATTTCCTTCGTTTTGGAGATTTGTCATTCAAATGAAGATGTGGACTGAGTTCTATTGTACCAGAAATAAATTGCTAACAATTTTATGGTTCTTTAACATTAATTTAGGGGTTGATTGTATCTTCTTTATGCATTAGTCCTCCCAGGGATTCAAGATTAAACTGATTTCTAAAATTATTTATTTGTTCCAGAATTGTGTATATTCAGAAGACCACCTCTGATGAGCTCCTGTCCCAGTGACATCATTGCACTTTGCAAAGCCTCATGACTATTTTAGATGTTTCTTTTAGATTTTCAAACCTTAGTGAGTTACCCTGTTTAATCTCAGGGCTAAAATTTAATTGTCTAGTTTGATGTTATTCTCTGGGGTTATCCAATCTAAATAGAGACGCAGAGAGAGATGCTTCCAGCTGCTAGTTCATCCTGCCCATTTTAGACACTTCTGTTAAGATGGAATAATTTTCAGCTCTGGAATTGCCAATATCTTTCTGTTTACCATGAAAAGACCCTAAATGCTTAGCTTCAATGAAACACCTAAATCATATCACAATACTGTGGAAACATATTGCTTGAATAACTGCAACTGTGTGCATGCATGGGAGAGTCTTATGTACACATATAGGTAAATGGATGACAGTGGAGAACTGAACAAATTATGTTTTGCATATATATGTGTCTATATATGTTTGCATGTGGAAAAAAAAAGTATCTCCATAAACTATAGGTATGTTTATGGACTAAAGTAGGAAAACTTGTAGAATTGGCTGTAGGTTTTGATGTATTTTTGCTATATGATACATCAATTTGGGTTCAAATTTATAGATTAACTGTCAAAAGTTTTTAAAATGAAACTCCTCTACAGTTTCTTTATAAGTGTCTATAAATAAGATTTATAAATAAGGTCAATGTGTTCTTTAAGCTGAAATTTTAATTCTCATTGCTTGGATGATCCCACAAAATGAAATAATTTTGTCTGATACTCAAAGCTCCTCAGCTCCCCTTCAAGCCAGTGGGAGCTGAGAGCTCTCAGCGCACTCAAGCTCATAAACAACTTTCTTGTCCTGCTTGCCAGCAACTTCAGGTATTATCACTCATAATAACATAGTGTAGTCCTAACCTACCGTGAGCCTCCCCAGATACTTTAAAGAGCTGTCAACCTTTATTCCAAAGCTTTCGCATTACAAAACTTAAAAAAATACGTCTTTGAAAGCACTTACCAGAGACGATGACTTTTGTGCCAGAACCAAATATCTTATGAACCCCTTAAAGAAACTGCTTGGGACGTTTTGGCCAGACAAGGACCAGATTTAACAACCATCATGAACAACAAAAGTCTATTCATTTAGCTGCATGACCCAAATTTTAATTCAATCATCTCCGCTAATGCGGCTATTCCCAAAGAGACTTTAGTGATATGTGCTTTAAATTCAGTTTCAAGATAATCTTAGCCATCACTTGCTTAAAAAAACATCAAAACAAATCAAAACTATTGGTGTCCTGGGTGTTGATTACACTACCATATTTCCTATAGATTTTTTTTCTAGAAAAATTAATTTTTTTTCTGCGATGGTGAGTGTTTTTGACAACATGATTTAAAAATACACTTATGCTAGACCACTGTTTAACTGAATAAATGAAAGGCAGTCCTGAACAGTCACAACTCTTCTCCAGCCTAGTGGAGGGGTATTTACTCGTTTTGGGCCTAATCCTCTGCATGTTGAGGTTACTGTAATCTGCTTAAATCGATGTGAGATCGGTGCTGTTCACCCTCAAATCCTGACATACTTGCCTACACAGTACTATTGCAGGTAGTCAGTACCGAAAGGAAACATCACACGTGCGTCTGTGTATGCTGTAGAGAAGCGTCAACCTTCCATCATTCCCCTGCATGTCCTTCCTCAGGGCCTTCTGGCTTCTCCCCAGGGAAAACCATGTGCACCTCACATGAAATCCTGCTGACACTGAAACCAACAGCAATATTTCCAAGGGTCCAGGATTTCCCCCCACATTTTAATCTTCTGATTATTCATTGTCTGCCTGTAGCTAACCAGTGCTGCGGTTCATCCGAGAGAGCTCAGTTCCTCTTGGCTGGAATAAACCAGCTTTGTTAGGACAAATCCATGGGGTAGGACCTTCCCCTTGACCAGATGGACAGATGCAGATTTCAGCCATGGTTTAGGGGATCTATTGGCACTCACACTGTTTTCCTCTGCAGCACCTCTGTTCCCCCTGCTCTGATGCCGAGGGGCGATCTACAGCTGCCTTTCTGAGTTACCCTGACCCTGCTACTCTGGGCAGTAAGCTTGGCACAAGGAAATACAAGGGCTACCTGATGTAGCCCTAAGTATCCAAAAGAAGTTATATTTCAGAAATTTATGGCTTATGTGGAGTCCTATAGTTTACCTTGACCTCTCTTACACAAACATTTGGGTGCTAAAGTAGTTAATTCTGCTACGGCAAAGTCCACATCACTTTTCTGTATTATACTTTTAAATTTGTTTTTTAATCTGTATGATAATTTTAAAATAACATATCACATTCCCTCTCCTCTAGATTTTTGATTATTAGAAAAATGCATATTTTCTTAGATAGTAAAAAACTTACCAGAAACGATAAGCTTTGTGCCAGTTCCGAAGACTTTGTAATAGTCACTGTGTACAACTACTTTGCAAAAAAACCACCATTGCGAATGAGCGAGTCTCAATGTTTTTAAAATCTCATTTTGTGTCCCAACCTAGCCTAATTTTCTTATTAGAAATGCACCTGTTTCTTTTGACACTCTCATTTCTGTAATTAAAGCTTTCCTTACAAAAGGGTGTATGGATGTACCTGTGTTTGCTCATACAACAGATTTCACTTATCTTAATCTTTCAGGTCTAAATAAATAATCTTGCATGTACACAAAACCTAAGGATTTGGAATACTGACAAAATGGAGGATGGAGCCCTAATTTAACAGTGGGCATTCAAAATCATGGAAATATTTAAGCAGATCCTGCACACCTGAGACTTGTAGTGTTCTAGACTGAGACTCCTTCAACATCCCCTGAGGTGTCTATGGAAAACGTGAGGAACAGTAGAGGTTATCATCTTGACAACATGGGAAATAATGCATACTTATATATGAATGTACATCTGTGTATGAATATATACCCTACAACAAGAACCTAGCACTGCATGCTATCAGCAGTTCAAGCTGATCTTTTTGGGCCATGGCTTTAGGATAACAGAGACCATTATGAACAGGGGGGAATGCTCACATTGAAACTTGTTTGTAAACATTGTCTTAAAAGAATTGGATACTGAATTAATCTTCATGCCCATAAAATCCTTAATATTATAAAGTCATTAGCACATGTTCCTATTAATGTTAATCATCGTAAGAGGTTTTCACTCTACAGATTTCTTTTGAGTGGCCACATCTTCCCTTAGTTATGTCTTACAGCTTTATCCTTCTGCCCTAACACTTGTTTGGACTTTCAAGTCTACTGGGTTTTGGTCTAGGGCTTCATGTTTTTCCATGTTAAAAAAAAATGCATACATTAATTGTCACCATTTTGATTTAAAAGGGCAGAAAATCAGTTTAATCCAACTTAGGTAAATTAAATAAATTTAAGTGTAATCTATCTTAAGGCAACATATATTTTATAATATATAATTACAAAAAATAACTGCAGTTTTTTGAACTCTGAACTTCAATGCATTTGATGAAAACAAGGTAGATACTTCAGTAATATTTAGGAGATAGCATTTAAAGAAATCAAGTATTGCTGCCATAATTTCTGCTATGAAATTATTTCCTAGAAATGTTAGTAGATTGTTCTCTTTATCACTTCAAAATAAGTTATCAATATGCTTGCGATTTGCCAGGGAGACGCAGCTGCAGTTGTAGCAGAAGCGATGGCAGAGGGAAACCAGCCCCATGCTGGCTAAGCAAGCCACTCTGCTTCTGTGCTGAAGGAAAAAAAATGTATTTGGAGAGGCTGGTTTATTCTTTGGTTCAGTCTCAGCTTCCCTCTTGTAACCTTTGGAGTTCCTAAATTCCCTGGAAAGATACTTACAGAAGAATCCTGTATTGCACGTTTATGTTGGATTAATATTCCTGTTCTGCTGTAAGCTTCTACAAACTCATCTATTCCACCAAATGCAAATGCCAAACCAGTCTCTGAAATCCCAGTCCTTCTGTTACCTGCATTATTGTAAGTCTTGAACAAGTTTCTTTTGGTCGGAACTAATTAAGTGAGACCAGCAAGAACAAAATCAAGTTCATTACAAGTTGATGGGAGTTTGGCTCTTTATATATTTGACTCTTAGTATAGATCTGGGAAATGATTCTGCTCAAGCTCAAAGCCTGATGGTTCAATTGAATTAAGCTCACTTATCCTAAGTCCTGGTTTTCTTCATTTCCTTCCATTAGGAGTAACTTACTGAGCTAATGTTGGATAGTCATCTCTGAAAAGACAAACTGTGATGAAATGCCTGGTCTTAAGCTTGAGGTAACTACTGCCCTTTTACTCTATTAACCAGGCAGATGCTTTGGCCACATAAAGACAAAATAATTTAGAATTATAGTGATGCTTGAAAATAATTTATTTTAAACTGTAGGTATGAAAAGCATGGCAACTACCTGATTAACAAGGTAAGGATTTTCACTAAAAACAACATGCTTATCCTGACACAGATATTTCTACTGAATTATAGTTATGATGTACTTAGTCTTTCTGACATAAATCATTAAAAAACATCTTTGCTTGATATGCTAATATAAGTTTATGTATTATCCAGGCTTAAAACATTTGGTAGCAATAGTTCCTCTGCCTTGTGTCTGTGTAGTTGTTTACTCCAGGATTATGGCATTTAAAGCATGTAATAGGCTTTAATGGGAAAAAGAAAATTTTTGTCCTTCACTTGCCATTAAAATAAATGTCTCTGCAGGAAAGGCAAAAAAATGGATCACTTCTTCATATGCGTGTTATTAAGCAATAAGAAGAGCTTTTGGAGGTACTAATTTTTTTCTACTGCCAAAGTGCTGTGTACAAGAAAAAAATAATTACGGACAAGTTATTTTACTTTTGCTAGCCTAATTAAAAAAGGATTTTGGCAATGGCCATTGCATATGGCTCTTTATATCTGTATTGGGAAGTTGTTTTCTTTTTTTATGCTTAATTCACAGCTGCTTGATTTCCTGCTTATTTCTTCAGTACAGCTGGAGGAAAGAACGAGCGCTCTGGAAACTACTACAGGCCATTTTCCACCACATTTCCAAAGAGGAGTATGATCAAAAATGGCTCAAAATAGCTCCTTTTCAGAAAAGTTTGTGATCCTAAACCACCACATTACAAATATGACAAGGTTCACTGTAGGAACGACAAGCTGGAGAGGTGAATCCTGTGCAAGGATGGTGCCAACTGAGGTTCTAAGCGGGCTGAGTGCCCTCTGGGACACTCCAACACTCATCTATATGACCACCCCAAGCTCCTATAGCTTATTGTATGGAAAATAGCGTGTAACTTACCTGACACAATGAGTTTTGTACCAGAGCCAAACACCTTGTTGTAGTAACTAATCACAGCGAATGAAATCTTTGCAATAACAGTCCAGCTTTGTTATCTTTACATGGGTAAAGAGCATTCTTTCAAGAAAATCACATTTGCTGTATAATAAATTTTTAGACCATACAAAAGTAAAAAAGGAGCAGTTGCCTAAACTAAACTAAAAAATAAAAAATGGTATGGAGGTTTTTGAGGGCGTGTATGTTGTTAATGGACAGGATTAATCTCAACTAATTTTAGTCTTTTAAAATTTAGTTGAATGGTGCAGATTGAGCAGTTTGTCTCTGTCTCTGCTTTCTGGAGAGAGGCAGCACCAGCAGAGGATCTATTTAATCAGATACTGGCCAAGTAATTTGCTCCTTATACGCCCTCATAAAATCAGACCTAGAATTGGTGAACATTGTGCTGAGATCTAAGCAGCACAAGACCCCTGGAGAGTATTTTTGTGTCAATAACATGAAGCAAAACCCTGCATGGGTTGTAATTGAACCTCCCGCTAACCAGATAGATAGATACACCATTTTCAGATGGTCAAAATTAGGCAAACTGTTTTCATCTCAGGTGCCTAGTTGAACTGAATCACAGGCAAGTACCAAAACACCTAAAGTTTACTTGAAGCAAAATAATTTTGATAAGTATGTAAAAAAATGTCGAGTTTGGCATTCTTCCTTAATAATAGTAATTAATAACTGATAACAAGCTGTTTCTGCAAAAGCTAGGAAGAGAGAGCAGCCTTTCAACTATGCATATATTCAGACAGTTCTGGGCATACCTCAGATAACTCCCTTCATTTGGTATAGTCAGACATAGTCCTAAAGGAAAATGTTTTGCTTTCCAAAGAATTTGAGCAATGCAAAGGATTGACACTTTTCTTTCAGAGTGAATTAGAAATGTCACAAATGTTGAATATGCGTATTTAAGGACAAAAAAATCTTTCGGTTCTCCGAATGCTATCTTTGCCATATTTAAATTAATCTTTAAAAAAAAAATAATTTTGGAGTTAGTTATACATCTGTGGTGCAATAGCTGTTGTGTTTCCCCCATTTCATACATAAATACAAAACAATTACCTTGTGCTCTGCATATGGAAATGCTCTTTAAGAGGAAAATCCTGCACAGCATTCAGTAGGGTTAAAAGTAGCGGAGGCTAAAATAACAGAGCACTTCACGCAGCCAATATCTAAGTATTGAAAAAGCATTTCAGAAGTAGTTAAGTTTTACATGTTGTACTTACTTGAAATAATAAGCTGAGTTCCACTTCCAAATATTTTGATGTCAACATCCCACAATCCGATAATGCTTAGCAATATCTCCTGCACTGCACTTTTCTTGCATAAGCTCCGGAAAAACTCTCTCTGACTTAGAGATTGGTGATAAATCTGGCCCAGTGCAATAGCTGAATTCTCAGCGTTGACTAGAGTGCCATTTTTAGAAATACTTCAATTTTTGTAGTGAGTAGAAAGTTCAGGATTTAAACCCAGCAATTTCATGCTTATTTTAGAACTATGTTCTAATCCTTGGATTTCTCTAACAAAGATCTGTTGCCTCTGGTCTGCTCAGTTTCCCCTGAAGTAACCTCTTTTTGGTGTTTTAAGAAGAAATGTGGTTACATTATGATTCCCAAAGGAAGTTAAGAAAGTTTACTAGTTATTGTTGATTTAAATATACAGGTAAAAAATTCTTTTTTCCTAAGTGTCCTACCTTGCAAATTACTTACTGTGTGAAAATACCTTACTTAAATTTTCATCAGATTCATATTTTGAAGCCCACATTTTAAATGCAAAGTCCGTGTTCTAAACAAAGCTTACTGATGCCCATAACTAAGTTAATGCCTTTGGTAAATGGTTATGCTGTCATATTTTTGACAAAAGCAGCTGCCTCTACGCAGGCACAGTTTAATTGCAAATTGCAGCAGAGAACATTTTTGGTCAGAGGCGTGGATAACATTTTAAATTTCTCTGTAACTCTCCTCTGTTTTTTACGATTTGACTTAATTATAGTTACTTTGATAATATCTTGTATTTTCTCAGCAACATACTGTAGGCATTGCTACATGCTTTATCCTGAAAACAGCATTCATCCTATTGATTGCATAGCTTCACCACAATTAAGAATAATAAATACAAATGCAAAAGTAAACCAATTACTTTCAGTAGCTCAAGGAACTAGAATTTATTACATTCCAGGCAATATTTCTTCCCAATCAACTTAAACTGAAACACCTCTAGCAATAAGAAATTTTTTGCATTTCTCACTTGCTGTTCTGAGAGTAAACTTTCAAGCAGTTCACT